CCAGTCATTTCTTCACAATCTGATTGAAGAGTGATTTTAATAGCGATCCTTTTTTAATAAGGATGGAGTAAATTTCTGAAACGAATTAGTATAGAAATGAAGGAGGAGAAAATTTCGAATTGTCAAAAATGTGACACTGATTGATGGAAGCAGGTTAGTGTTTCGTAGTCTGAAGTGCTACAATTTTACATATTACTTCTAGGACATGAATGTGTGCATTGCGAATGACAGATTTTGAAAATGCACTCAGCGATCATCAGAGTACTGCGACTTAAAAATCTTTTCATAAATATTTATCGTTATTCTTATTAATGATTGCTGAAAATTATCTATGAAACGGTTCAAATGTTTTGTGTTTGTGGACAATAGATGGATTTACTTCGGTGAAGTCCATTGTATGACTTGACAGTTGTGCTTGTTTACTTTATCTCTATGGAAATAAAAGTCGACCTATTCGAGCGAGTCGAAGCAGAGATTTTTCGATTTTTCTTGGGGTGCATTTGTGTGACGTACTCTGTAAGAAAAAAAATATATGATTTGTGATCGTGCAGGTTTTTCGATTGTAGAGGAACATTTCAAATATTTCATATCATTCGTGGAACTATGTTAAGTATCTTAATGCTAATTTTCGACTTTTCTCGATACACCCGACAAATTTTTGTCTTCAAAAGTGGAATGAACATTTTTCTCATCTTACTCATTCAATAGATCTTTTCAAGAGCTAAAAAGTCATGTATTTTCCAAAGTTGAAAACAATTGACTACTTTAAAAAAAACCCTTATCACACTATTCTCCAGGTGCAATATGATGCCTTTTTAATCAATGTTTAGAATACTTCAAACGGAAAAAGTTCAATATGTGTCAAAACTAATATAATATTTGGAATCAGCATAAAAAACTGAGTTAGTCTTTGTGTAATTTAAGGAATTTCTGAAACCTATTTTTTTACATCGAACAATTCACCTTTGGTCTTCCTCAATGACCAGGCCAGAAAATGAATTGCACCAAAACACCTTTCGAATATTGTGAACAAACCTTGAAAGTTGTTTAAAGTTGTTAGATAGCAAAATGGAAGATATATAGAAAGGAAAAGCAGAGTATTCGATAAGTTGATTTTTCGCCTAGTTCCTGCTGTGTGGGGATAAGTTTTTTTATGTAAAAAATAGATTTCAGAAATTCTTTAAACTATACGTAGACTAACTCAGTTTTCAATGCTGATTTCGAATATTATATTAGTTTTGACACATATTAAACTTTTTCCGATTGAAATCGTCTAACTATTCATTCAAAAGACACAGAATTACGCCTGGAAAATAGTGCGATAGGTAATTTCTTCAAGTGACTGGATTTTTCGACTTTGAAAAATATATGACTTTTTAGCTCTTGAAAAGTTCTATCGAATGGGTAAGACTAGAAAAGATGTTTAATCAAATGTCGAAAACTAAAATGCTTTGAAAACTGTATGTGTATTTGATGTGCCAATGCAAAATGTATGACATTTTGCCGCATGATTGAGAGTCTGTTAAGCCGTGTAGTAACACGTTGAATTTGGTATCAAAATGTCGACCTTAACGAGTACTTTCATTCCACATCTGATTCCACTTGATTGGGAACAAAAAGCCCAGCAGATCAATTTGAAGTCTTGTACTTCCCCGGCCTTTTGGTTCTGTACATCTTGACTTAATAAATATGATCCCATACCGAATGAAAAGACAACGACGGAATATCTAATAAAGATTATCCGTGAATCATGAGCAGTGACGCTATTTTGTGTCAAATAATTATCTATCTTTCGATTTTTTTTCTTACGATCATACATTCACCAAGATGTAAAGTGCAGGTTTGGAACTCTCAGCAGCTTTTGGTACAGAAGGTGCTAATACATATTCGGAATTAGACTGGAATTTAAGGTAATAGCTATGAATGAAAGCCATACAATTTCAATTTGTTTTTTTTTGAGTGAAGACAAGGCTATTTTTCGAAAATAATGGTTGTTTTTGTAAGCTTTCCAATGCCAAGAAATTCGAATCTCTAATCGGTTTTTTGAAATTCTTGAGTTCAATTTTTTCGGTAAATGGCAGGCTATTTCCTTCGATTTACTTACATTTCATCACATTCAGCTATTTGTGTAAAATAGACTCTCTATTCGGAAAAATAAAATTCTAGAATTTCCAAAAAACTGACTAGAGATTTGAATATCTCAATCCCGAAAACCTTTACTACAGTTATGGGGAAAACCGTTATTTTCAACAAATAGCTTCTCTTCATTGAAAAAATTGAGTTAAAATAATATAACTCTTACTCTTACGTATCATTTTAATTTTCAGTCTAGTTTCAAATATATATTAGCACCACAGCAGTTTGTAGTAAAATTTACTGCCCATGTGCTGCACTTACCCCTTGACATTCACCATAAATAAGAGAATTCAAAACTGCTGAAAAAAAATTCAACGTTTCGCTGGGTTTGCTCGACCACATTATCTACTAGTTGCACACAAACAAACATAAATAATAAATCACAATGAATCTTAATATTTTATTACGAACAACAGTAGCATATGTAAGTGTGTCAATAATTCCTTATTTTTTTTATGCATGAAAGTTTTTTCACTAATGCGATACACTAAGAACCAAACTGCTGAATAAATAGTGTTTGTAATCATGAAAGAAAAAAACAGTCTTGTATAGAATTTATCAAAATTTTATCTTCTATTATTTAGGAAAATATGAACTTAAACTAGAGTATCGTTTGATAACATAGATGCTTATCTTCTTTAATTTTCTATGACAGTAACAATTTCATCAATACATAAATCAATTTAAATAACTTATATAGATATTATAATTATACATTGTTATTAACATTTACTTTTTATCTTGAATAATTCATAGTAAAAAAAACAATATTAAGATTTAAGAAATGAAACAGGTGTGTTCAAAATATATTCAAATAAAGATCCTCGATCCATTTGAGTAAAGTATCGCTTTAGATATTGATATAAATCTCCTATTGTTGCTTTTTGATCTTTCAAGTAATCATATACTACATCAAGTGAATCGATTAAAGTTTTATCATGATAAGCTGCATAGATAAGTGGACGTCGAGCTTCAGAAGCAGCCATTAATTGAATAATTGCTTTAAAAAAAAATATGTCAAAAAGGAAAATTTCATCATTGTAAATTAATTCATACCTTTCACATATTTATCACCATGAAATGCACCACAACCCCAATTTCCAGTAGCAATAGCAAACTCATAATCTGATCCTTCTTCTAGTGGACGAAAGCTTGTATAGGCTTTAAGTAGTTCACGATCTACACATTCCATATCATATTGTGTTGATGGATCACGAAAGCAAATAGCATCCATAGCTACTAGATGACTCCATTTTCGACCCCAATTATCTCTGAAAACATATTAGCAATTTGAAATCTAACAGTAAAAACTCATGTGAAGTATCTATAGTTATAAAAACCGAACTTTTTTTTTCTAAATGTTTTTAGTAGAGTGAAGAAACTCATTTTTTTTTACTAGAAAATCAACTATATTTTTTTATTTTTACTAATTATAAAAAGCATTAACTCTATCATCATGTTTACTTTTATTGATTGTGCAACACAATCATATAAAATTTCATTAAAAATATTCCTTACTTAGGTGTATTATCGATATAGTCTCCATCAAATTGAAATGAATTAGCATAACCTCTGTATGATGAATATCGTTCACATCCAATAAGAAAAATACATTCATTTGGTTCCATTCTTTCACAAACAAGTAAACTAACAAGCATTTCAGGACAAATCGTAAAACGAATTTCTTCTTGCACACAACCGTTACCTAAAACACCACCTCCCTAATTTTTGATAAAATACTTTAGTAATACAAAAAAACAAACACCAAGCATTGCGCTTTAGATACTTACGATATATTTACAAGCAAAATCCACCTAACAAAATAAAATCAATGAATGTGTGAAAACAATCGTGATATTTACTTGTAATGCACCATTGACATCTTCAATTTTTTTACCAGTTGTCAAATGTAAATCACAGAGACCTGTTTGTAAATCAGACCATTGTGGAAAAAGATGTGTAGGTAATGCAAAACGTTGAATAGTAATAATACCATTGGGCACTAAATTGTACTAATACTACAGGAAGATATGAAATAATTGTACACTCACTTTTTTCTGTAATACGTCGAAAATAATGTAAAATACATTTAAGTTTTTGAATTTTTTTTGGATGTCCACTTTGATATAATCTTTAAATTAATAAGATTTAAATTTAAAAAACAAAAACTAATAATTAAATGATATATAGTTACGCATTGAAATTTGGATTTGGAAAACTACGACGTTTGTTCTTCTGTTTGTAATCAGAACGATTTGGAAATAAACAGAAAAATGCACAAGCTAATAATGAAGCAGCTTGTTGTTGTGACATTGTAACTGAACGATTTGTTCCAATACGTAATAATGGTAGTGGCTGAAATATAGTACACTTCATATATGAAACAAAAAACAAGACAACAATCAATACTCGGCTAAATATTGTATCCACATTAAGTGCAAGAGTACAAATATTGGAAAGAACAGTCGACATAAAATGAGCACGTTCATCGTTTGAATAAACCTTGAAGTAATCACAAATTAATTTGTATTATTGAAATGGAAAAAAAAAGACTTACGTCATCAATTAACTTTTGTAGACAGTCCAAATTATAATGACGGTGAGCGCACTCTCGAATTGTTTTCTATCATAATAGTGTTAATTTACGAGAGAGAACACATCCGACTAATAATCTCTGTTTGAGCTCATATTTAAGACTCATAGTGTAGAT